ATATTAAACATATTACAGTTTATCGTATACATATGGCTGAAACAGTAATACTGTTTGTCTGTACCGTATCCATCAATACAATATGTTAATAATTAGTCATAATTATAGCAGTAACGAAAATACGTACATTTTTTCCAGTGTATTAAAAAATTCTAATTCTTCATACTCACAAATAATTTGTTTTTAAAACCTTTTTTTAATTTTTGCAATTTGTTTTATAAAAATAGTTTAAGATAATAATTATATGATTGCAATTCTTTTTTAAAGAAATTGTTTTCAAAAATCATGTTTCTGCAGTGCAAAAATGAGAAGCACTCTGCATCTTGATTTATAAAAAGATATAATATAATAACTAAATTTAGTAAAATAGATTATATAAAATTATAATTATAAATACAATATGTGTTGAATTTAACTGTTTTGCTTGTTGAAATTTAAAGATGCAATTTTTATAAGCTGGTAACCTTAAATTTTTAAATCTTCCAAATAATTCCCTATATCAGTTGCGTAGAATGTTTAAGTAATTAAAGATTTAAAAAATTGTTATAACTATTATAATATAAATTTATTAACTCATAACAATTAAGAATATTACTGAAAATTATATAATAAAAATTTTTGAATGGCAAAAAACAAAACTGATCCCCAAAAATACAAATAAAACCTATTTTTAAGAATAATTTATATAGTAAAATTGATTATATCGATCATTCAGGACCTGGATTACGAATAGCAATTTACTAAATTATCAAACTATGAAGATGGCAATAGTAGATGAGAATATACTTAAAATGAATTTATAATGTTAGTGAAGATGCTATTGTAAACATAGCAGTCTACTAATTTTAGCAAATTGATATTTGTAATCTCGGTTCAAGCTTTTACGTTTGTGATTCTTGACGTTTCCTATTTATTCTCGTTTATTATAATTAGGTTAATGACCTCTCTTCACTGTCTTATTCTTCTCATAGTTTGTAATTGTTTTACATTTCATTAGTTTCAACTAGCGATTTGTGTTGATCAACACTTTTAAAAAGTAGCCAATTTTTAAATGTTATTTAATATTCCTAACAATGTAATTATCATTCTAAGTTTTTACTGGTAATAATGTTTACTTCGTATTTTGTAAAAACTTGTAGTTTTTGAACACAACAAGACAAGGGTGAAAAATTGTTATTTCTCAACCCGACTGAGTGATCGACATAATCAATTACAGTATTAAAAAAAATACCACCGAGTGATAAATCAGTTAATACTACTAATAGTTGATGAAGTAATTGAGTTTATTGTTCTTTTGAAAAGTTTCCTACTGCCTGCATATTAAAAGGACATTTGAGAAAGCAAACACGTGCACTATTAGAAATTAAAGTTCATCACCAGAGGAGACACATGCACAGACACTCTCTTGTAAAATTTTCACTTTGGGAAATTTGAGTTCACGTGGAATATAAGCATGACCCTATGTTGGGAAGTGGTGATCCGTAGATCATAGATTTAGCACATCTGAGATGAGAGTTTCTGTGCTTGGTGCTTGCGAACACTTTGCTTCGAGTAATGTCCGCGCAGGGCCACTTTAGGCAGTTGACGCTTTCCGAGCTTGCGCGATGCGCGCAGCCTCGGGTGCGGTGTGAAGTTAGGCCTGGGTAGGGGGTAGTTGGAAGCACGTATGCACTTCCGTGGGGTGTCGAAAAAGCGTCCGGCGCGGGGCCGCCGGGGGAGGGGTGCAGGCGCACGAGCATGTCGCGTTGACTCGTGGGTGGGAGGCAAGGGAGGAGTTGTCGGTGTCGGGTGGGGAGAACGGGTCGATGATGCCGGTGGTCTTCCACGACACGAAACGCTAGTCAGTCTCTGGTCCAACCGAAGCCGCGCTGTTACCACCTCGTACATCGAACACCGCTCGCCGCAGCCATGGGTGACAAGGTTTGTGCACCGCTAGTCCCTTTGCCCCTTAGACACCCTCTTATGTCTCATTCAATCTATCAAATTGTTGTCTACTCTCGTAGACGAGAGAGAAGATCCCAGGCAAAATGTCCTTGTGTGTGAGTGAGAAAATGTGTGTGGTCGAGAAAATGCATTTTCAGGGATAGGAGAACTGTGAGAATGGGGGAGTGTAAGTCTGAAAGATAAAAGTACGCGATAGAATAATCTTTGTTGATCTTGTACAGTGCGGCGAATAATCATGTGCGTGTGCCAAATTTCTCAGCAGAAATTGCGACTAGATGCCCGAGGAGGGATGTCGTCTTTCACTTTGTGATTTGTGATCAGTTCAGGATGTCAGAATGAAACTCGCGAGTTTGCTCTCTGTCAAAGGCGATGAGGGCGGAACAGTCATTTTTCAGAGTCCAAAATTTTCATTCCCTGACAAATTCGAGGCAGTGCAGTGATAAGGATTTCATTGGTGAACGCACCAATGAATCTTTCTAAGGATTCCAGTTGTGCCAACTTCCGAAAATCACTTGCAAGTTCCGGCTTTTTTCGATCGATCACGTGCACCACTGCCGGGAAGGTGCTTTCACCCTTGAATGCCAAATGAAATTCTATTCTTCTCGTAGATTAATGAATTGTAGAAAACTGTTCAAAACTAAGAAACAGGGAGTTTAGTTTAGTACATTGTACTAAACTAAAGGAGGAAGTAGGTCAACTGTACTAAATATGGCGCTAAAGTCTGCCAAATGTAAACCAAAAATGGCCAAACTTGACTTGGTTTTATGATAAGAAGTCTAGTGCAATCAGACACTATAGAAAGATTTTGAGTATTTTGTTAGATAGTGTTGTGGTCTATTTACACGAAATCGAAATTCATGTACACTTGTTTATGAATGTCCACGCAGAATGTTTAGACAAATTTTATTGCAAGAGACAATCTTCTATTAAGAACATAATTATTCTTATTCACCTGGAAGTAGTTGAATGCTATAACTAATTGTCAAGATGTCCCATAGCAAACAATATTTCTTCTTCATAGAGCGGACTTGATCAATTTTGTTACTATCGTACTTTTTATACAATATACACGTAGAAAACTAACGTTCAATCTTTTAAAACACTGAACTGCTCACTCGAGCAGCAGTAGTATGCCAATAGCCGATGAAGAAAGAGAAAAATTTTGAAGAATATATCAAAATGCAAAGCGCACTGATAGAAATCACGTGGTGCAAATGCAAATATTGCGAAATGTTTCCTGAAGGTGAATAAAAATAGAAGGAAGTAAATTTTTTGTGCTCTGTGAAAATATTTGGGCAAACGAAATAAGCGCAGGAACGCTGAAAGATTTCCCAAGTGGTTGAAAATTGTCCAAAAATGCCAATTCTTGTCGTTGAATTTGTATGATGATGATGATGATTGTGAGGAGAGGAGAGAGAGTTCCGCTTAGTCAATTGAAAATACATAATAGAAAAGTGGAATTTGTGAGTTTCTGCCCGTCTGCACTGCTCGCGTAACCACTGGCAAAGGGGAGCTTCGATCCACGCAGGGCAAGAGGGGGTGGCAGCGGAGAAAGAAGGACAGAACGAGAAAGGAAGAGAGAGAAAGGGTCAGTTGGTGGGCCGGATCGAGTGCATACCCCTTGCGCGCTGTCTTTCTTTTTCAACTGCTCCTCCTTTCCCCTCTCGTCTCTTTTCCCCTTGGTATCCTCTTTTGCTCACACGAAGAACCGTACGGTGCGGTGCTTCGCAGTGATCTCAGTCAGTGTCCGTGACTCGCTTTCGATACCAAAGAATCGGTCAAGTTAACATCTTCGGGGACTAGGGGTAACGGGTCTTTTGTGCAAAGGAAAGCTGCGAAACCTCCGCGGAAAATGGTAATAGTCATTCACCTACTTAAGATTCCATAGTGCATTTTCCTTTAATGAGAAAGGTTTCACGGGAGGATAGAGCAGCTTTCAGAATACTGTTTCACGTCTTCGGGAAAGAAAATCCCTCTTTTCCTGATTAGTTTGCCGGGAGGGGCGACAGTCGATCGAGGAAATCTCAAGGACTTGCGACTAAACATTTTGAGATCGATCTCCTCTACTTTGCCTATAATATGGATTCAGTGCGGGATGGATATACGTGCTATAAAGTTTTTATTCTCTATCTCCCTCTATATCTTTCTAATAAATATCTCTCTCTTGCTCTCCTCCGCCCTTTGGATTTAATGGAAATAGGATATATAGAGATTTTCTTCTGAAGGGGATGAGGGATGGTTTAGTGATTATTAGGGAGAGTCACTGCGCATGCGCAACCTACCAGCTGCAGATCCTATGTCAAGGAAGGTCTCTAGTGAAAAATATCATTTCAAATTTACTTAAAAACATTCAACACAATTAGAAAAAATATATATTATTAATATTATATATTTCCCTTTTCAAAAATTACTGATAGGGGAAAAACTTTTTCCATATTCCACTGAGAATGCATTTTGGGGACAAAAGATTAAAATACAATTTCTATTGAATGTTTTCACATATTTTAATTTATATATATTTATTATATTTTTATTAATATTTGCAAAGATGTTTGAATGTAAATGTCTAACGTAAATCATGATCATTGTTTTCATAGTTTTGGTAATATCTCATTCTTTTCAGGTTTTGAATGAACATTTTTGTATTTTAATGAGGGTATTAACAGAAGAATATTTTCAAAAATCATTTAAAATTGTTAAAGTTGTTGAAAATAGCTTAATGTTTATTATTTTCAAATCAATGTCATTGAAAATTGTATTTCAAATTTTTAACATATAAACGTATATTATCATGTTAATTATTTAGATTAAGAATGTTAATTGCTTTCGTAGCGTTTCAAAAATGAAATTTTTGTAGAAGTGTTATGTAACATTTCATATGACGTTGAACGTAACTCTGAAGAATGTCTTCATTATACATAATGACTTATTTTCCTTGTTAATTTAATATGTAGAATAATAATCAGATAATTTTCTTTACATTTAATTTAAAATTTTTTTTTTTAATAATATGTTAACATTATTTGATTTGAAATACTTTATAATGAGATAATTTTTACATTTATTTTCATTAGTAGAACCATGTAATTTTGTCAGTAATTCTTCTTGAGAAATTTAGGTTTATTTGTTTGTTTCATTATCGTCTTTGAAATTTACACAAATGTTAAAATACTTATATTGCATTTTTATAAGACTTAAAAATCGTGAAATAAAACATGAAAGACTACAGTTATGGGAGTAATTAATTGGAATTTAATGGAATAAAGTTTTAATACCCAAAGGTTTAAAAGTCAACATTTTAAATAGGTTTATAAATTGAATATAAAATTTTAATGGTTTAAAAATTTATTTATAATATTTTTGCACTTACCTGCTCGTTTAAATTATGGTAATGGAATAGTCAAATAGAGAAGAGTTGTACCAGTTCGTGAACTGACACTGACGATAGTATCCAAGGACGTTACGTCAATTGAAAAGGTCGATCCTTTTAAGAGAGGCCCTTATATCGATGTTTTACCAATCATCCACCTTTTTTTCTTTAATATCATTTAAAAGCTCTGTAGTTAAAGTTGTCTCTAAAAATCATTAAATAATTTGTTATCAAAATATAATTTCATTATAAACGTTTCTTTTATCAGTATACTATTGCAAATATTGTATAATTATTGTATGGAGACTAGCAAACATTAAGTTATCATTATTTTTTATTATTATTTTTTCTATTTGAGCATAGTTCTTAGTGAAAGAACATATATAATATACGAGTATTGATAACGTGGAAAATTCTTTCTGTTATTCTTTTTCTTTCGAAAGTATTTATCATTTGTTATCATTACGTTTATTGTAACTCATACAGATAGGTAATTTTCGTTCGTTTAATAAAAAAATTAACCTGACAATTTTTCTTTCTTTTTATCTCAGCTTTAAAAAAGTTATATTATATGACACACATAAAAGATATAATAATGTTTTAAATTAATTTATACAAAATTTTATCTTAAAAGTACGTATCATTTAAAAGTCTCATTTCATTAAAATCAGTATATGTCGCTATTTACTTGTTGATAAATACTTCCTGAAAGAAAATGATTATTTTTTTCTTACGTGGAAGATATTGACGCATTCTAAGTGAATTTTCACTAATTCAGATTTAGAGAGCGTGTATATATGCATCTACAATAGAAGCTTCTTCAGAATGGATTTTTCTATTATCTTTTTGCACTATCGGCAAAAGTGTAATTTCAATTGTCAAACATCTATTTGTATAATTAAAATTTGATAAATATTTAAGCACATTATTCAATGAACAGAGTCAGTAAATTGCATAGGAAATTCTTTAATTTCATTAGCCTGTTAATATATAATTGTGAATGGGGTGCAAAAAATATTGTCAATACGTTGAAACGTGTTGTTGTATTAGAGAAGAAATCGTCTCAAGTAGTAAAGTAGATGGACAAAGGTTTTAAAGTGAATTAACAAGGAAAAAAGTATAGCGTTAAAGGTATAGGGTCGTGTAATAGAGATAGACAATATACCAGACTAGATGGCACCACGGGCATGCCTGTTCTGGCGCACTTATCGATCGTAACCTATTTATAATTCATCTGACATTTCGATTCCTACGATAAAGCTTCCATTCCTGTCTCGATAATGTTTTTCTTCTAAATGACATCTATACGATTTCAAAATCGATTATTTTTATCGAACCTCTAATATGTATTTTATTTTACAAACATTTAAATCTATTTCAAACTTCCCGATTCTTTTAATCGTTGAAATTTCACTGCCTTATTTATTTAAAAAAATTCCTTTTACTTCACTATTTTTTATTATAAGTGCAACATATCCAGGAATAGTGAATATATTTTTAATTTGAGCGAAGACAGACGTATTTTTCTCTTTTGAAAATTTGATAGTGAACATTTTTTTTATCATGGCTAAACATTTTTTTGTAGTCAGATCGGGAGGACCTGAAACCTAGAAGCAATGCCGGCCATTTTGCCTATATGCAATTTACTTAGACAATGAACTATGTTTTTAAACCTATTATTAAAATTTATTTTTCTTTTAATTGAATAAAAATCGAAATACAGTCATCAAAGTTCATGTTCCAGAATGAAAAATCCGTGATGGGTCAAACAAAATATCATTTTTTCATTTCAAAAACACGTAGTTAAGTGGAGAGGCTCTTTTACTATAATGAAATCCGATTTTATTTATTTAAGCTATTTTCATTTTGTATCATATTTATGATATTTATACTTACATTACTATCACTACTATACTTTATTTAACACTAAATATATATAAATAATTATTGGTTTTATTTCAAAATATATGAATGCTTTACTACAACGATTTTATAATTTCTATAGAAAGTTTGCTATTTTTATAATGTATAATGCGTTATGTGTTGCAAGGGAGAGAAATTAAGTCTTTTGTTTAAAGTAACTTCTTGTAAAAAGTGAAAACTAGCATTATAATTGTATTTATTTTTTACAAGAGTCCATCTAATCAAATGAAGAATTTTCTCTCCGACGACAGTTGCCAGTGCCAGAAACAATATATAATACAAAAAAAAGTTTTTCATAACTTATTTGTTTTTCTCAATTCTATATTAACATAAGAAAAAAGAAGAACTGAAATAACTATTATAATGATTACAATTCTTTACTAAAAACCACCATTTTTTTTTACGTAAGTTGTACTTAAGAAAAACTTTATCATGACATTTTGGCACTATTATACAGTTTTATCCAAAAAGAATACATAAATCGGATGTTGTTGAGAAAAAATGTTTATTAATAATTCTAAATATTGTACTTGGAAAAAATTTACAAAATTGAATCAAGTTATTTAGTTAAATAAAAATAGGTTTTTTTCGAGGGGGTGTTTACTGGTATAAATAGTGTACCATTGACTATACTGTTATTACAACATTATTACAATATTTACCAAATATTTCTGCTTATTACGACTTATTACAAGGTATTTTAGGGTATTACGATGACGTATTAAGGCATTATTACTCGATATTACACGAGTATTACAAGAAGAGTGTAATCATTGACTACCTGAGTAAATACCCTCCCGGTTTTTTTATTAACTTGGAAATTTCAGGAAGAAATTGCAAATAACTGTAAAATTAATATTTCTTTTGTCCATGATGGAAACAATAATAGTATATTTACCATAATTTTCTCCTTAATTTTCTAATTAGACAAAAAAAAAATTTTATGACCAGATTTATTCGAATTTGAGTTTATTATTTCCCGTGTAGAAATTTAACCGTGGCCCAAATCGGGGCCAGATCTTTTGATCATTGTGTAGGCCATAACATGGCAATTTCTACACGGGTTTTAGTTAGTATTGTCTATAAAAATATAGGTGGAAAAATATTTAAATACTGTTTAAACTTTTTTTTTATAATACAGGATTTAAATAAGTTGTGTTTAAATAAATACAAATTAAAATTTTTTTATTTTGTTAAGAAAGCATTGTGTTTATAGTGCAAATTTGTAACTCTTTTTATTCTAACACAGACATGGAGAAAAATGAATGGTGATGACGACTTTTATTTTATTTGTAATAAATAAACAGTTTTGTTAATTTTCAACAAGGCGCTACTGTCGTTTTCCAATTTAAATTTCTTACTAAACTCTTTACTCCGTGAAATAAACTCATTATTTATAAAATAATGTGCTACTATTTGCAACTATTATGAACATTTTTTGACACTTTCGATACAATTTTTAATTTCGGAATTTAATGATAGGCGCGTTTGTTAAGTATTATTGTAATGAAATTCAATTGTGTTTTTTCTTGTTATATGAACATTATGGCGTGCTATAAAGAGACCGAACGGCCATGAGAAATCCATAATAAAAGTGGTCTCGATTTAGCCATATTTAATTCCTCCTTAGGGTATGTTACTACATGATGTACATATAAATTTTCTAATTGTAAAACTTTTAAGCCATGTAATTTAAAATAAAACACTATTTTTGAAAATTATATAATATTAAATATAAATAAAAGCAAATTTCAATATTTTTAAATTTAACTTTACGTATCTCTTAGCGTGTGTAAAATCACTAATATACTCTGACCCTACACAGTTTTCAGTAATATATTGATTGGTTTTATTTATATTATAGAATATTTACAAAGGTTGCAAATTTTAGAAATTCTCTGTCAGCATACAAATTCTCAATAAAGATTATAGTTCAAATTTTTAATCTGGGTTGGAGTATTTTTCTTTTGTCTTTTTGGAGTATTTTTTTACAAATACATAATTTCTTCTTTAAAAGAAATCCATCTATTACTGTGCGGATGTCAAAGTCGATGCGATTTTTATATAGAGCTTCAATGAAAACTCGAATCAATTTAGACACCCCCTTAATAATTCGTAATCAAACTATTAAAATATAGTTGGCAGACAATCAAAATATTAAATTTTGAGTATTCCTAAAAAAAATTTATTCTTGGTCTCCTGTATAGTCTACACTGCAAAAATAGGTGTCTTTTTTGATATCTTAAGATAAGATGTAAGTTGGAAAAATGGTATCTTAAATCTTAAAATAAGATGTTTTCTAAAGTATCTTATACTGGATATCTAAGATACTTTATACGTTTTAGCAGTGATGAAGATATTTCTTCCATATTAGAAAAGTAAGTTACTTCGGCAAGTTTTTTAAACTATCTTAAATTAATATATATATTAAAAGATGTATTTTGTTGTTGACCAGAATAAATTGTAGTGAAAAATGTAGAATAGTGTTTGTTTTTGCTGGTCTTTATTTAAAGAATTTCAATTTTCGAGCTTTCGTCTTTCCGAAGAAATATGCTGAAATTGTGTACGAAGATACTTTTAACATCTTAAATTAAGATATTTCAAATAACTAAAAAGTATCTACCAAAACATCTTAAATTAAGATACTTCTTTTTGCAGTATATTCCACCTGTATTATTCTATAAAGGAGAACTTCACTGAGTATAAAAATCATTTTTCCATTTTTCTCCATGAACACTATTCTTGTAATAATTGTGTAACAGCGTGTAATACTCTTTGAGAGTTGTTTCTCATGGTATATAGTAATCTAATTAATTAATTTCTCCAATTTTTTTTTGAATTAAGGCACATTTTATCTGTTAAATAGAATTAGCTCTGTGAATCTCTCAGAAATCTTATATTCTATACATCCCATTAACAAGTTAATTTTCTTAAACGCATGTTTAAGAAATCGTTAAATTTATATAGCTTTGAGCATTCTTTAATGATTTGAATCTATAACAATAAGATTTGAAACTTATTAATATTTATTTTACACTTGCGTAATTACATTAAAAGATATAAAATTGGTTTTTGGCATATATTTATAATACTATGATTTCAATTATTTTTTTATTTGATGAACTCTCTCAAGGACGTTCTGTTCTCTAAAACCCTTGTCTGCATACATCACAGTCTCTTTGTGATCACTGATTTCGTATTCTACATTAAATTTGAAAACACTATTCAAGCTGCACATTTTACACAAATAGAGCGATGAAATATGGAAAATGTCGTAATTTA